TTTACTTCTCCTGAGAGTGTTGTCAAAAACATCACTTGTAGATTAATTCTCATTCACTGGAGAAGTTGATCCATTATTAGACTTTGTTGTTGTTGTGGTTGTTTGCGAGAACCAGGACAATAGAGACACTTCCTGTCTGAATATGATGACTATGGTTCATTTTTTACAGTTAAGCAGTTTTTATAGGTGGGTGACATACTATATGTATCATGTGCCGTTATTTTCTCAGACTCCAGCAAAGTGTAACCATAACTCTACTTGCCAGCATCAAAAACAAACACATCAGAGCTTGAGGAAGGGATAAAGAAACAAAACATTTGGTTGATCAGTGATCAGTTAGTGTACCCACTTGCCAATAAAAATCTGTATGTCCTTGTATTTAAATGTAATTTTTTTATATGTACACCAACAAACGTGGATCCAAAAATGCATCATATAGAACTCGCAGCAGCATTAAATTATTTAAAGGTGGATTTTTTCTTTGTTGCTCAATAGATGAACAGATTTGGATTGTCTACATACAATATGTAGAAAGCAACTTACTGGCTTTGTGGTCAGAGAAGGCAAAAGAAACACAAGACTGTTGTGGTTAGTCAGACTTTCTTAGTCATTTTAATCCACACAAACCTTTGCAGAGGGAGCCAGGCCACTGTATTTATGTAGTCGCATACATTGACACGTGGACCTTGCTGAGTGCAACCACAGCTTTATCTAAATGTTGAGATCCCATCATAACTATACTTTGTCTCCTGGGAGAGATTCTACAAAGGAAAATGCTATATGTTTTGTACTTTTCAGTCTAATTTGCAGAGAAAAAACTCTCTCTTCTCTCTTTCTTTTGCTGTAATGTGAACTATGAGACCATGATTTATAATTCATAGAGAACACTGGTAACAAGCTTAAACAATAAAAATGATCCATGGCGGTGTTGCTGGTATCACAGACAGAAAATAAAATATTTAGGATGGCATCGCCAGGAGGTTTTTGGTCTTCCCTCAGAATTTATAGACACTATCATCATCATCATCATCATCATCAGCTACTTACTACAAAAAAATTTGATTTTTTATTCTTTACATAAAACATTTATTGCTGCAATTTCTGGAGACAGGAAGCAGCAGTAATAGTGAAAAGAAATCCATAAAAGAGCTTTTACACCATGATTAACCAGAATGAAAAGGAACTGGTACTTCCAGAATTTTTTAACCAAAATGAAAACAACATGTGCATTCAATACCCAGTCTCCTTTGGACAGGCTCCTGCTGGGTTAGTCTATGTAGAGATACATACAATGTGCATTGTAACACACACAGTTGCTACACAGAGATATATGGAAGTCTGCCTTAAAACAACACAACTGAAAATAGACTATAACTTGATCACTGGCTAACCACAGGTCTTTGATTTGATTTAGACAATGTGTGTAAAATAGCTTCTGACTTTGTCCCATTCACATCTTTTAAAGGTCACATTCAACAAGCTCATATTTCCTTGAGTGGACAACAATCTTGAGGGAACGGTCCACTAGAGCTTCTGGTTAGTGTTTCGGCTCTATAAAAGTCTACATGATATCGCTGGCCAAGGACGTGCCCAGCCCCTTAAAGCGCCACTGTGGTTTCACCATCAATTATTCCGCAAAGTCCACCTTAAAAATATACTGTCCGTGATGCTGTAATACAACAGAAATATCTGATCAGAGCGTCTTGTTCTGGCTCATGTTTTCCACGTTTTGATAAAATGCAGATATGTACCGTATTCATGTATGCTGTAAACATGTGGAAGTGACACTTGCAAACGCAAACTAAAAAACCTTTTGAGTGTAATAAACACAACTGTTGTACAAAGCAAAATAGAAATTAAATGACAAAGATTCTTTAAAAAAAATAGCATATGTAGTATTAAATACTCCATAACACAAAGATATGGCAAGTTAGGAAGATGTAGTACAGCTGAATCCTGTTTGGCTTCCTACTGTGCTGGTTGCCTGTGGACTGTATTTATGGACTTCAACAACTAGTGGAAAGTTAAATCCACATTGTTTTTCAGAGATCATGCATCAGACAACTACTTCATCTCATGTTATCACACTGTGTTTCAGGAAGGATGCACGTTTGTTCTGGCTGATAGGAATCCCTTGGTAAAGTGGCCTATCAGACACTTAACATTCATCCTGATTAAACCTGACCTGTTTGCATTTTCTTCCATGGTCTTTCAGCAAGGCTTAAGGAGTGAAGCTTTATGGTTTCACCTTGAATTCATGGTCAAATGCTACTAAAATAGCCATCACAGAAAAATGACTAAGACCACAACCTTGTGATGTAAACATCTTGCAACCTCAAAGTAGAACCGCAGATATATCCACCATTACAGCACCTTGGTTTTTTTTAATTCAGAGCTTCCTGCGATTCACAGGAACAGTCAACGAGCTCTCAGATAAGATGAAGCACTGAACTCTGTAGATTATACTGTATGCACTGGGCAGTCTCACATATGGATAAAGGGCATGAAAAAGTCTTTGAAAGTGTGATGAGACCATGGGTAAACTTCATGAAGATTAAATTTTGACTTCTAGAAAGTATAGTCTGAGCTTGAGACCAAAGTTGTACTTTTGTATGGTTTATATGGAAGCACTGATGCCACATGAGAAACAGACACTCTGATGTTATAAGGGAATCTAGGCACAGCACAATACCTAATCTGCTTGTTGTTGTGTTTTTTAAAACCAGGAACAAATGCATCATGCTGACATTTTTACATTTCATCGCTCATCATTTATCACAGTCAGAATTGATAATTAAGTGAATGTTTTGACTGATCGGTATGTTGTCAACAGGACATCTGACAGCCCATTGACTGGTCAATGGGCAGTTTATGTTGTTTTATTTAACTTTGTTTCACAAGAGAAAAAAACAACAAAAGATATTTGCAATAAAAATGCCTCATACAAGGAAATGTCTCATTTGTTTTGATTAATAAAACACAGGGTGACAGACTACACCGATTGTGAGACTGACACTATCTAACAGCCCTACAGCACTGTACATGGCATCTAAGAAAATACATAAAACATGAAGTATTTTGTTTAATTTATAACTTTGTTATACATCTTAGCACACTGACATTTATTAGATAAAGTTTATGACCTCACATTTTTGTTGGTTGACTTCATTTCATGTGATGTGCAAAGATTTTGTGAACAAACACTATTTGCCTCCTGTTTGATAATTCTTTTGATCCTTTGCTCTCTAAGTCGCAGCTACTATATTCACAAATTACAAAAGCAGGCACAGCATCATTATGATTTGTGTGATGATGTGTGATCTGTCTCCCAGTTTCACCAGAATGTGTCATTAAATCATAGGAACGCATTCTGCAAATGATACAAATAATTGCTTCTGTAGCGGTGGAGCTGTTGGCTATTCGGTCTGATGTTACGTGTGTGGGTATGTGTGTGCGTGTCAGTGTGAGGCTGTCGACTCTGCCCTGCTGTCACAGTAATGACTAGCTGCCATTACTGAAACTCCTTCCAGAGTTCGCAGAGTGAAAGTGGGGATATATAACTAGGCTAAAGGTTCAGCCAGCAAAAATGCTAAACTGCAGGGATGACTGACCAAACTTTTTCTTTTTACAAAAGTTCTATTTTTTTTAATCAGCACAAACAGAACACAACTACACTGGTGCTATGTATTTTAACTCTTGTTAGTGTATTTGACTAATATGAGTTTATTATAAATCACATGTCTTTATTTTGCTTCAGCAAAGGTTGAATCAGATTTTAAAGTTGTTTCTTTAATGGTAATAAAACAAAATTATAAATAAACCTAAAGAAAACGTGACTGAGAGCATGATGATTGGTCGCATGGATTCACTTCACTTGTCAGCCCTTTCTCAACAATAAATCCTACTGGTGAGTCAACAGGGCCCCTTTGCTGTTCTTGTGTTTATTAACTCTAAATGCAAAGTGACAAGGGTTTAATAACTTTCAGAGCTGAATGTGACTGACAAGAAAGTGAAGCAGGGTTATGGCTCCAGCACTACCAGAGAAAAAAGCAGCACTCTTCTTGGGAAATGACTTGGGATGAAGTCGATGCTCCTTTAATCTGTCACGAGATGTGAAGGAAAGTTAGAGGCATTGTCATGCTTTAGATGAAACACACAGTATCCCCAGAAGGTTTCTTGGCTAGAAAAACAACATCTCTATGATGGCTAGGCCTCCTTACGATGCTGCGGGTTTGTTGAGCTTGTTTTGTTGAGGTACAACATGTAAATGGATAAAAAGTGAGCCTCAATACCTAGAAGCCAGGAATCATACAGTAGCTTCAACTGCACTATAATGTTTCAAAAGGAAGCAGAGATGAACTTTTCTCGGAGTACAACTCTAATATAACTTTTCTTTAATACATAGCTGAAGACATTGCACATTTATAATGCATTTTCTTCAGGATTCCTGTACTTAATGTTGTTTCTCTAATCTGTTAATAACCTTGCCACTGATTTGAAGATTTATACTATAATTTGTCCTCAATAGCCAATGAAAGTTACTCTTGATAATGAAAAATTGTGATCTCAAAATTTACCTTTAGTCTCATAAGTTTGCCTGTTGCTGTGTTCTTTGGTAGTGTTAATACAAATAAACCTTATGAGGACAGTATCTTAATAAACTGCTGTAACATTTCACAGTTCCACTTCACCCAGTTCAAAACCTAATACTGCCACAGCACACGTCCCCCTAATTTTAGAGCAATTTTCTCAAACTTTAAGTCAGCTCTTTCAAGTCATGTGGCGCTCTGCATGTGTAGCTGATTTACACTTCCCTTTTGCATAGGATGGTGGCACCATAGTTCAGCAGTAACCTGGCCCTCCGCTCCGCAGCTCACTGTGGCAGCTTCAGCAGCAGCAGCAGCCCCATAGGATAGGGGAGCAGGAGGTTGCACTCCGTCACGTGTTGAATAAATGAGATTTGAGGGTGACGTCCACCACTCGGCCCCACACTGCTTGGTTTCAGTCAGCGTGCTGCAGCAGTGTGCCGGCCAACACACAGACCAGCGCGGGATGCCGATAAGCCGATAACATCCACTGGAAGAAGAAGACGGGAAAGTTTTGCGAGGGACAAGGTGGCAGTTTTAGTTTTAATCTGAAAGAAATCGGAAAACAAACTGAATTCGAATTTAGGAAAGAAACTAATTGTGTGCAACGAGGGGACACCTCCAGATCACTGGCAAAAGCGATCAGTTCTTTAATTCCTGAGATGGATGTAACTTTCACTTTGGACTTTGTCTTGACAAGGGAATACTGAGACGAATTTGGATGTCTTGAAACCCCTGTCTTCTCTAAAACATAGCAGATGAATGTGAGTATCCATCATAGCATGGCGCATCTCCACAAGTAATTGATGCGACAAAGTTCTCCATCAGTGCTGTTTGTCCAGGGCCACTTTCAATTCTTTCATGCTTTTCACATACTTTACCATTTATTCGCTGATCCCCTGCCTGCAGTACATGCCATACTGGATGGATACAAGTACGTCTAAAACTCGCTGACTTCCAACGTTGGCTACTTTTGCGCGTACCGGTTTTCATCATTAATGACCAGATTTGTAGCAGTAATGGCCATGCTTTTCCATTGTATAGAGTGTCTTAGTTTACAGCTGTTATCCTTAATATTTTACATTAAAACTGATCTCAAGCGTTTTATCTATTGCACTTTTTAAATTAAATGCAACTTTGCAGGGTTTTACTGCACAGAGTACCCTCAGCTTGCGCGCTTTGAACAGCAGCCAAACACTTTAACGGTCTGTCATGTCGCACGCTTTAAGCCCCTGTGAAACATTCCTCTTAAATTGGTCAGCTTGTGGAGTTAGTGTATTGTCCTCCGACTGCTGTGGCTGCTGCCGCTGCGCCTTTGTGCTGTTTTACTCCGGCTGAACACATAGCAAACGATTACTCACACGTCGGCACAGGTATTGTGTTGGATCTGTGTTCTTTGACCATGAGTATGTGTTCCTTTCCCCCAGTTAATAAATTGATCAAGTCTCCACCGGGTTCCATCACCGAGTAATTTTGCAGGCTTTATGACTTTAGACACAACAAGGAGTAGCCGACAGGCTCCTCCTCTCTTTTCTTTTGCCAGTTTTCAATTGTTAAGCTACAAAATGTTCATTTGCATTGTTAATACCACTCTATGAGTCAATACTTAATACTTAGTAACATGGGGCTCTTTGACAAGCCATACCACCAAGGCTTTAAAAAATATTAAGGGTCATTGTTTTTCATCCATTCACCTTGCAATTATCCATACATCTATTTCTGTACCTGCTTGGTTTTTGGGCAAAATGTCTGTGATTATTTCTCTATTGAGATATCTCCTGTTAAGAGCATTATTCTAATGTGTGCCATTTTTCAGAGTCTGGGTTGAGTTAAAACATGTCACTCAGAGAAGACAAACAAAAAAGCAGCACTGATGGATAAAACCAAAACTTGGACCTCCACATCTTTTATAAGAATCCAGGGATTATGTCGTAAACCCATGCATGAAGCAATCATTTCACTAGTCTTGTCTTAGTAGCTTGCATATGCTGTTGATGAAGCCAGTGTTCCAGACTCCTTAAAAAGGAATGAAAAACACAAGATATGTTTTTCCCAGGACAGCCATGCCAGCACCACCCAGAGTTTCTTGTTGCTCTCAATTTCTGAAAATTAGTTGGCTGTAGTCGCTCTGGATCTGTTCATTGTCTTATAGAGTCATCATCAGTAAAGTAAGCAAGTTTACATGGTATTTGAGGAGAAGTTCATTTTCTCTTTTTTGACCAAAATCAGGAAACTTGTGTGAATACTGTCAAAGTCTGGAAATCCCAATCACCCCTGTCCTCTTCACAAACATGCATGCACCAGGCCACATATGAGGTGAACTTTGACCTTATTTATAGCGATGTTGTCCAAACACACTGTAACCTGATGCACATGTGTTTTAATGGTGCAGCCTCTTGTACAGTCAACGCAATATCAGATGGTGCCATCTTCAAAGACATAAGGTGCGTGGTTTTTAAATCCGGAACATCTTACACAAACAGCTGAACCAACACATGCTGTTTCTGCTCTGGGAAAGAGATTATCCTTCTTGTCACAGACCTTCAGAAACCTTCAGCTCACCGTGAAAGGGTAGCCAGCAGCCCTTCCTACTACCGTGTTTGCTATGGCCAGGAAGTGCATGTGTATCTGAGGTCTGTGAAGGCTTTTTCTTGTCATTTTACTGCCCAGGAACTCCACTTTCAAAGACTAATGCAGGGCACAGAAACACGGCACCTGTGAGAGGCAATAAATTGCATTCAGGGCTTTTTAGTTTACTTTTTTGCTAAGCCTGTTATTCTCATGTCCAGTCAATCTGCAGGTCTGTCTGTGGTTTCGATTAAGTCTATTGAGCATCAGGCAGCCTGGCAGGTTGTCGAAACCACAGCAGTTTTCTTTGAGTTAACTGGAATCATGATGTGGAATTAGAAGCTCATTTTACATAGTCTATCACTATAGCTGACGCTCATGGCCTGTGGGTGGTGAAAATCGTGTTAATTATAGTAGTGCAGCTGAAGTGCTGTATCTAAAGTCAGGGTTTTGATGAATTGTGATAAATTTTAACCAGTATTTTGCTGTATCTCTGTAGATGAGATACTCTGGTTAGATCAGGAAACACCCCATTTTAAATTGCAGGAGACTGTCTCAAATATTGTGTGTGAAGATAAGATATTAACTTATGATAAGTGTTTGACAAGTATTCATTATGAAAGCAAGATATGCCATGATGAAATGATCTGACTTAGCACCATGATCTGGAGAGGTAGCAACGTGGCTCTGATGTTCTCAGCATGAATTTTGATGCTGATTCCAGTTATACTAGTGGCCAGGATAATATCCTTTGTATTCAAACAGAGGTTTCATTTGGAATCGGAGAAACCTTGGAACTTCTCGGTTCACTTGATTTAGAGGAGTCAAAAGAAACAAGGTCAGTGCCAGAGTCTCTGCTAACAGTGAGGTGTACATGATGTGTTATCAATACATGTGCCAGTCTTATGAAAATTAACCTCAATAAAGCTTTTATGGTGTGTAAATTAGACATCCATGGGGGGATTAATCCTCTAGCAGTTACATCGTCTTAACAAAATTCTTTACCATTTTTTAACCATGATCTAGTATAATTATGCAAGGAAAACCTCTGGGTCCAAGCCACAGTGGGTGTGGCTTACTGAATACAACAGCTTTCATCCATGGGCAGCCATTATGATTTTTTTTCCTTCTGATTGCTTTCCCTGAAACCCTGTGCATGAATAGTTTGCTACGTACCTTTTATATTCTGACTGCTAACTGGCTATTAACCTTCAGACATGAAACCATCGGTGATGGATGCCTGGGTTGGTGGGTGACTGTGCTTGTTCTACATAGGTTTTTTTTTTTTATTATAAGAAAAAGTGTCATACTGAGTAACACTCCTCACGGGTTCTGCGTTCATTTCCACGACAGTGCGCCTGCTTTGGAGTTGCATTCTGGGAACTAAATTTCAGTACCCTTCAGGAGGTAGTATTAAAATCAAGTACCGGCACTGCATGGGGGGGGTGCATGCGTGTACAGCAGTCGCAAATCATTGGTTAAATGTCCGTGTCTTCACACCTCAGGCATTAACATTACAAGCACCTTGTGTAAACACACAACTGACAGTGTGTGTGAGAGGAGTGCAGCCCTCCATCCTCTAAACAGAGACAGACAGAGAAAATACAGTGGAAAAACAAATCTGGATGGTCTGCGTCAACCCTGGAGGCCTTGCTTGGTGATGGTTAAGGGAAGAACCGGGTATACTGCTTGTTAGGGTCCGACAGTAGAAGCACAGCCTAAGTGAACTTCTTAGCTTTGAAGTGCAGAAATTTCTCATTAACTTTGCACTTAACCTTTTTAAAGTATATTTATTCTCTACCTGGTACTGTGTAAATATCCTGCCCCACTGTCTGTTATACCCATTAGGCCGTGCTGCTCTGCAGAGGTCTTCTACTGTAGCTCAACCAGAAGGTGCATTATATCAGTAGTAGTATTTGGACAAAGATTTTGGCCGTGACATTTATCCTTTGTGTTTTGGACAAAGCTTTATTAAGGTTTGTTTCCAGTGTTGCTGTAAAGTAAATCAGTACTGAGACTTTAAAGTTTATGTACATGCTGGATGGATGTGCTTTTGTTTTGGCCAAGAACAGCATTCACAAAACAACTCATCGCATGGTATGTGATGGTAAATTTGTAGTGCATGTCTTCATAGTCCTTTTTTATGGTCTCTGTGAAAGTCATATCAATTAGGATTTAATGCAGAAAATTGATCCAGAGTTCATTTTATTCCAAAACTGGTAAATAATATTGAAATAGTGGCACAGAAGGTATTTTAACAGCACCAGTTTTTCATGGCATATTTCACAACAAAAATTGTTGCAGGTTCACGCTCTTAAATTCAGGTCTTTCAAGAAATGTGTTTAGGTGCACATGGCCAAAAACAGCATGTCTCACATGGAAAAAAGCCCTCACACTAACAAAACAACTAAAAGGCTCTTAAGATGCCAAAAAAAGTACATTTATTACATTTGCACAAGTGGTAATGTGAAAAAATGTGAATGTTTCAGTCAAAAGACCATCATCAGCACAGCTTACAGACCCAGCAATTCTAGTTGTTTTGTTAGAATGTGGGTGTTTTCTTCATATGTAGGATATATCGCAAAACAAGTAATGCTCCAAGGTTTCTCATTACTCACACTAAGTTGAATTCAAACCAGTTTATGATGTTAAAGTGAGTATCTTCACCGTTGCGGGCTTTGAATCATGGTAGACTGAAATTAGCTGAGGAATCTTGTACTTATGGCCAACTTCCAGCAGACCTCAATTATAATGCTGCAGAGCCAGAAAAAGGGAGAGAGGCAGACATCTTGGAGCCCTTCAACTCTGCTATACTAATCTGTCACTCAAACACACTGTCATCAGCGTGGCTGAGACAGATCGCCACACTACATGCAGGGACACATATTAGGCATTTAATGCAGACATATGCTCACACAGATTCACAGATGTTTTGTGAATGTTTCCTTGTAGGTATCAATTAATCCACTGGGGGGACTCTTGCAGAGTCTTGACTAGGAACTCAATTACTCAAAATTTTATGGAGTATAATGTGCTTGTGTTTACATTTCCTCAAAATTAAAGCTAAATTTAGTTTGCAAACAAGTCAGAGTAGTTAGAAATACATGAATTTAGACAAAACCACAGACAACTGGAAGCCAGTCTCTTTATTTAATGAAAAAGACATAATTTTCTGTGTGCCAGACATTTGATGGTTTTGGATTATTCTGCAGATGGTGACTGTCTTGGTGAACAGTTTCCACATTGCTCTACAGTGTCTCTGCCAGAGTGTGCTTATTGTTTATGTAAGGAATTCCACTACCCTCACTACATTTAAATATTATTACTTGAATATTTTTCACCTATTTAACACCAAGACAATTCCCACAAATATTGAAAGAGAGACATCTTTGCTCGGGGGAGATTAATTGGGAAGAGTGTTTCGAAACTGTTTACTCCATGAGAGCTAAATGTGGTAGCACACATAAATATTAAATCTGGGACCTAGCATACCTGACTTATATAAGGGGGTGCTGCTATAGTGAACACATCAGGTAGACTGGTAAAGTGGCTCCTTCACCTTTTTAATTAATGGCAAACATGTTAAATAGCAACAGCCAATGTTTTGTGCTGCAGCCTATGGTTCTGATGTTTCTTATCCAAAGAGGAGCAACAAGGTGTTGACTTTTAGGTGAACTAAAAAGTGTTGGAAAGTGTTAACATGCAGAGCCTCTTGTGTGCACTGTGGTTGGAAGAGAGCTGATATAACATATGGAAAAGTGTTTAAGGCATATTTGTTTTTTTCTTAAACTAACTTACTCTGTATTTTGACACAGAAATAATACTCCATTTCTTAGTTGTCTGCTGTTGTAATTTTGATATTGCTCAGTTTTTCCTCTTTGTGTGTCTCCAGGTTTAAAAAGAAGAAACTGAAATGAAGACAGCAGCCAAGGGTACTGGGAAATTTATAATGGGTTCTTCAGAGCATGAGGGTTGGTGGAACACAAGGATAGTGCTAATGGTGTATGTGGCCTTGGAGCTAGTAACAGTCCTCTCACCTGTGGTTCTGGGGACTCTTGAACTCCAGTTAGATGAGGAACAACCAGCAGGCACAATTATAGGTGACATCAGTGCTGGACTTCCTCCTGGCATCACAGCCTCTCTGTTCTTCATTTCAGACCATGAGGGCACAGGCGTGGGTACTGATTTGGACATAGATGAGAGCACAGGCATTATTAAAACAGCCAAAATTCTTGACAGGGAAGTGAGGGACAGATACAACTTCATTGCGGTCACCATGACAGGTGTGACTGTGGAAGTGACCATCAAGGTGAATGACATAAATGACCATGCACCAATGTTTTCAAGAAAACGAGCCATGTTTAAAATCCCTGAGCAGACTGCCATAGGTACCAGGTTTCCTCTTGATCCAGCTGTGGATGCTGACAAAGGGCAGCTAACAACACAAGGCTACCTTATCAAAGATGGAAACATTGGCCAGGCCTTCACCTTGGAGACCAGAAGGGGAAGCAATGAGGTTCTCTATCTGGACTTGGTGGTTAATGCCATTCTAGACAGAGAGAAAAGATCCACCTATACTTTATCTTTGGAGGCCTTTGATGGCGGTTCCCCTAAAAGGACTGATCAGATGACATTAGATATTACTGTACAAGACATTAATGACAATGTTCCTGTTTTTAACCAAAGCCGGTACCATGCTATAATATCTGAGAACCTCCAACCAGGAAGCAGTATACTGCAGGTGTTTGCCACAGATACTGATGAAGGAGACAACGGGATGGTACTATATGAAATCAACAGGAGACAAAGTGACCCGAACCGCTACTTTGTCATCGACTCTCACACCGGCATCATCACACTCAACAAGCCTCTGGATTTTGAGATGAGGAGAGTCCATGAACTGGTGGTTCAGGCGCAAGACAATGCAACCCAGCCAGAGGTGACCAATGCCTTTGTCACCATCCATGTCAGAGACTACAATGACAACCAACCTACCATGACCATCATCTTTCTCAGTGAGGACGGGTCTCCCAGAATCTCAGAGGGTGTACAACCAGGCCAGTATGTAGCCAGAATCTCAGTCACTGACCCCGACTATGGAGAGTACGCCAATGTCAATGTGTCGTTAGAGGGAGGAGATGGAAAGTTTGCTCTGACCACAAAGGATAGCATCATCTATCTGATATGTGTGGACCAGATTCTGGACCGGGAAGAAAGAGACACATATGAGCTGAGGGTGATGGCAACAGACTCAGGCACGCCTCCTCTCAGGGCCGAATCCTCTTTCATCATCCAGGTGACTGACATCAATGACAACCCTCCCCTGTTTGACCAGCCAGTGTACAGACAGATCATCCCTGAAGTGGTGTTTGCAGGGAGCTTTGTGTTACAGGTGACAGCCAGAGACAAAGACCAGGGGCCCAATGGAGACATTACCTACAGCATCCTGCAAGACCATGGTGCTTACTCAAACTGGTTCAGTATAGACCCCATTACGGGGATTATCACCACTCTCTCCCAGATGGATTATGAAAAAAACCCCAATCCCAGTATAACGGTGGTGGCCACAGATGGAGGGAAACCACCCCTGTCCTCCACTGCTGTGGTAAAAGTCATTCTTCAGGATATAAATGACAATGAGCCTGTCTTTGAGAGAAACCTCTACAATGTGTCCATCAAGGAGAACACAGCTCCGGGGACCTGCGTTCTTGAGGTAGGACAATTTCTTTTATATTTATTTCATTAAAAGTTTATTCTGTACACTCACTCACTCATGCAAGAGTCTAAGATCAACTTGGTGACACTTGTGAAGAACATAACAAATGGAAATGAAATAAATAAGAGAAATCTGTCGGACTTTGCTGGTTCCTTTTATTAGTCTATGAAGAGTTATTTTTTAATTGTAAAGCTGTTTAATTTGGACTCCCTTAGTGAGGATTTACCTGCGGTTTTAGGCCAAGATGATTTCCTCTTGGCTGTCCTCTGCTTCACCTCTCAAAAGGTTTCCAGGGTTACAGAGAAAGTGTAAAGTCCTCTGTCAGCCCAGGCACAAAGTGGTTTTTCACATATTCACAGGCAGTGACAAATTTGGGGCTTTATCCAAAGAAATAGATGTCACTTCACTCTCAAAAGGCACCTTAATTAGGCTAGTTGAGCGTGAGAAAAAATGCCTATAGACGACAAGATGAATTAAAGTTCAGATTATGGCACCCCCAGTGACTGCAGTCCTGGTTCATTAAAACATATTGTTTCTCAAGTTGTTTTTTGCCATCTTATTAAAAAGACTGCACATTTAAAAAAAAACACTCATCAGTTGTTTAAATCATTGAAGTAATGTCTTCAGCCTGCAGGCTGTTTTTCTTTTGTGCTTGTGTTGAGATTCTTACAATTTCACAAGTGTCGGCAGTAGTATTGCATGGATCAAGGAGCTGAATACAGAGAGCAGTCAAGACAGAGGGCCCAGCAGACAGGCTCTTGGCCCAGGGTTTGGCCTGGGTAGAGGGAGGGGTGAAGGGAGACGCAGGATTTAACCGCGACTCCTGGCTTGAATGCAGAAATAGAAGCTGTGCGGGCTTCTTGTGGGAGGTCCCCAAATTATAAATCACACGGACCACAAGATAAGGAGAAATGGCAATGTACTGACATTGATTATGGAATTTGGAAAGTAAACCAAAGAATAATTAAAGTTCTATGATTACTCGTTCCAGTGTGGGTTGAAGTTCAGTAAAATGATCTGAAAACCTTTATTATGCTTTTTTTTTTTTAAACCAGTGATGGTCAGAGTTTTGACTCTCCTCTGATTTGCCTCTAGAAGCGTTACTACTGTATGTGCTTTCACACCACTCTCAGGGTATGACATGCTTGATCAGTGGCCTCACAGAGTCCAAGCATGAAGTAGTTCTTCAAAGCCACTGCGCTTTAGCTTCTCTTGGGCCTGCCCGGGTGCTACAGACGTGTGTTTGGCAGGCTATGTGAGAACAGACTGCTCTTACTCAGGGTGCCAGCTCTACATCCAAACAGCTCAGCAAGACATCTGATGGCTGCTTTTTTTTCTATGTAGATGAAATTCTCAGTGTTCTCCTTTTTCCATATACATTGCTGTCCAAAAACCATTACAATATAGCTATTGTGATCATTAATTCAAATGTCTGAAGTGGCACAACAGTTCATGACCACTCTTATGTAGTCTCACTCCTCAATGCTGTCTCTGTAATAGTTTGTCACTTTCTGCTATGAGTCAGTTTCTGAATTTATAATTAGATGTTTAGGGAAAAAAAATTAAAAAAAAAAAAAAAGATTAAAGGCTAAGCCTATTAACAGCAATCAGTCTCATGTTTCAATGTGCAAGATCTGCTGCAAAGAAAATAGGTCAGTCTTGAGAGGGGAAATCAAATATGACACGAGAAGCAACATTTTAAAAACCACAAGCTGCGTTGTGGAATGTGTGTCATGAGCCATTACTAATTCTATTGCCCTACTAGTTTTCAAACTGTATGATTTTACAACCTCTCTAGCTTGTGTAGAGGTCAAATACAACTTTTACACCAGAGATCTGGTGCCATAAAGGAACCACAAAAAGCTTGCTATACTCTTTGCATGTCTATTTGATCCATTTACAAGGTGAGTGATGTTCTCTTGCACCAGATTATATCTCCATTTAACACTGAAGAATTGTAAGCATGTGTTCATTCAAGAGGTACTGTTACATTGTACTCTGCCAGTGTATGTTTCATTACAAATGTGTGAAGTCTTCATAGAATAATAATCAAGTGAATAAGGTGGAAAAAGTCATTACTTCAAGGGCATTTAGTGTGGCCATTGAGCATAGAGGCTTTCGATTCCTGATGTGGAGTAAGAAGAATAAAATAAGATGTCATTAGAGGTAATGAGGCGCATCAGCCAGCCATAATATCTGTACATTCAGTAAAGCTAAGCCTTATTGACTTGGCTTTGGGAGTTATTTGCCATTTATTATCCTATGTGTTATTTCTTTTATGAAGTAATGAAGCTTTACAGTTGGTTACGTCACAATCTTGCACTGGGGAATTATTTACACCTCATATTGTTGCACTTTTTTTGGGTGGCTTGGAGTGTCTCTTTGCTATGAATTATTCCTCTGTCTGTTTCGGGTGGCCTTTCTGGCTCCAGTAGAAAGGCGAGAGGGGGTCCCCAGGCAGCTGGAGGGGAAATGAGCTCTGACAAGTGCTGGCATGAGTGACGGAGGTGACAAGAGCAGGGGGGCTTCCTCGCCTGTCCATTGGTCTGTCCTTCTCTAAATTCTTATCTGATCTCATTTCATTTCTCATTAGCTGGGTCTGACGTTAGGCCAGACCTAATTTTTAAACCAGCCTCCTCCATGTTCATGACAGAATGGACCTCTTGTAATCGCTGCAGCCCCCTTTGCAACATGAGATGAACAGTGATTGCTGCATGTGAAGGAGGACATTTTGCCTTTTTTTCATGAAGCTGGGACTTAAACTTTGGTATTTGCCAGTTCCTTTACCACCCAAAGTGCTTCCTGTCTTACCAATATCTTGGCAATGTTTTTATTACACACTTCCCTTGAAAAAACATTGCTGATATGACATAGGATTATTATGCTTTAGATAGGATTTCTTGGGTGCAACATTAAGAAGGGCCTGCTAGATGTCTGTGCAGATTCTCAGTCATCCAGGTCATAGTAAGTGTTAGGGTGATACGTTAATGCATAATAAATTTCACATAACGAAATATATATCTTTTTATTAGTCTTCTCTTTTCAAAATAAAAGAACTTTCATTACATAAGCTGATAAAACTGGACTAGATTTCTAGGTTGAAGACATTTCACCTCTCATCCAAGAGACTTTATCAGTTCGGATAGTTTTTAATTTAGATAACATACAGTACGTATGCAGTCTTTTTTAGTAGTGTAACATACAGCATCATTCATTATTTGACATTCATTATTTTATTGAATTCTAAAGGCAGTATAGTTGAAAGAGGTACCTGAAAGAGGTGGCACTAGATCACTTTGCCATTCCTGCAAACATAAAAGCATCCAGTCTGTCAGGGACCAAGCAGTAAGGCAAAAGACACAGCTTTCAAAGTTCAAAATAAAGGGTTTCTTTTATTAACCCAAAAGCAAGAAAAATACAAAATTAACATCAGATAAACTGGGCCCTAAAAGAGGTCAACAAAAGATAAGGAAACTCAAAATACAGCAAACTGAACTGTCTCAACAAAACCAACTGACCTAGCAAATGAGACACACACAGGGGAACATATATATACTGGCTGATCAAACCAATAACACAAACAAGGGGTAAACTAAAGACACTACCAAAGCAATCAACTAATAAACACTAAACAGACAGTCTGCTAGCCGAACCGCCCCCCCATCCATGGACCAGGAAACACGGTAACTCAAAAGAAAAGGTAAACATTAACAATACAAAATTAATCAAACGTGCATGCTCATTGATCAATTGTGTATGTCTAATATAAATTACCCACCCAAGTCCATGGCTGGTGGTGGTTTCGGCCCTCACATGGTGAAGGCCAGGACTGAGGCCTTCACACAGTCTATGGGGAAAAATAATTATCATAATTGGTCTGTAGTAAAAATATGAATGAAGAATGTTTCTTTCACACAAGTGGCTCACAGTTGCCACGGTCTTTTTGTACAGTGACCACCTACTGGTAGCTGTCAGTGCTGATTTCAGTACCTTGTGCCATGGCATCCTTGAGTCTTTATTAACTTTTGAAAAATGTGGCAGGGGTGGAAAGTAATCATTTTTCATAATCCGGATACCTTCAAATTGCTATGTGGAGTACAGTCAGGCTAAAGATCTGGTGTTCACTGTTTCATTGCAGGAGGTGCCTTTATGCTAGTTTCGTCAGTGAACAGTAGAAAGCTGACATTGCTAAAATGCACCTTGCTTTTTAAAATCTCTGCCTTCATTACTTTGTTTGCACAAGAATACCTGCATTACAGTCCATGTAGAATAGACTCACTACTTCATACAAAAAAGGAAAAACCAGTTAAAAAGCTACTGACTGTAACAACTGGCCAGAGGGATCAGAAAGTAGTTTGCTGTCTTCTGGTTTATTTAAACAAGCATCATTACAAAAATGTTAACGTTTGTTTTGTAGTCCTTTCTTTCTCAACAAAATGTTTCTTCTCTCAGTGCTTTGGCTGATACTCTAGAATGTCAACCACATTTTCCCAGCAGTTGTCAGTGTAATGCATAAAAATGCTCATTTTGACTTTCACCCATACTAAGGTTCTGCAAAACAGCCATGCAAAATGCAATGATTTGGTGAATGAAAAGGGCACCTGATGCACACGCTCACTCTCTCAATCCCTCTTTCTACATGACCTCCTTTTCTTTTGGTAAGGAACCTTGCTAACTACTCCACTGCAGCTTTCCCAGAATGCCCTGCTTCAGGCTTCAGCTTTTTGCAAATGAGTGAAACTAACTATGGAAATGAGAGAAATTGCCAGTTTCTGACTTGTATTTTGGTACGCAAACCATGTAATCAATTCCCACCAGAGACTTTTCTGGGGACAGCTTGTGTCAAACAAAATGTTCACGTGTCTGTTTTAATACCAGACCGGCCTGTGTCCTTGTGAGATTGGTTTATCTTGAGGCGAGCTGACTCTGTTTTTGGTCTTCTTTGTTTCTTTTTCTTCCTGCTAAATACCAAGCTATGCTGTGGCTCTGTGGTATAC